CAGGGTGAGCTAATAAGTAATTGAGGTTTCATGTTAGTTGTTGAATTGTTGCTTGTAGTTTGTGTTTGTTTTCTATTTCTGCAGTGGAATGATTTCAGCGTCCATCCAGAAAGCTTTTTATATCGCTCAAAGTTTAATACAAATTGTCAGTTTATATGAAAAATTGCTGTTTTCTGGCCACGATTTTATAACTTAGCTGGAATTACAAAAGTAATTTAGTGCTTTATTGTATTTGCAAAGATTTATGGTCACTTGGTTTTTTGAAGCAATTTAGCAGTGTGGGTTCTACAATACTTGGAAAACACAACCTGGTCGGTGCTATGCAACGAATTTTAATTGAGGAATAAATTACTGGTGTATATTCAATTTTACATTTTCTGGTTTTATCCTTTATGTAATAGAAAACCACAAAGTAATAGGCCGGTCAAATGCATTGGTCCATGTTCAAATAAAACAGTTATATAGTTACCATGGGGACCTCCGTATACAATTAATGTTAGCCATTAATCTTCTAAAGATATAAAAATAAAGTAATTATGCTTGTAATTCCTGTTAACTAATAAAATTATGGCCAGAACCTAGCCATTATTCATAGAAACTGACAATTTTTAGTGAATATTTAGGGAATTTTGAAGGAATGCAATGATCTGCCGAGGGGATGGAAATGATGGTGGTTACTGTGGAAGTTGTCATAACGGAGGGTGGAGCTGCTGCTTCTGCTACGGATGTCCCTAATTGAAATAATAATTGAAATAATAATTATCATACTAATTCTTAAGATTATTTGGAATCAATTTATGAACTTATGAAAATGACATGTGTTAGTCAATTCGATACATAAAGAACGTCCGGGAATGAATGGGAATGGTCTGAAAATGTGGTCATAAAATCACAATGAGTTATCGGAATTTTAAACTTTTTGCATATGTATAATACCAAATACGTACCTACATAATTTAATTAATAGCTAAGGCCGCCACACCCCCGTTGGCGACTAGTTCGATTTTCTTGCGAAGATTTTTCATTAAATTTTTTCCCGAAGTTTTTGTCACTTCCGAGGTGATTTTCTTCCATCGTCCTTTGAATTTTCGAAAGGTGTCAGGCACATCTTGAAGCCGGGAGTATACTGACTTAGAACGTGCCCAGAATTTTTCGATTGGGCGGAGTTGGGGTACATTAGGTGGGTTGATATCTTTTGGTACGAAATCAATATTTTTCTTTCTGAGGTACTCGGTCACTTTCTTTGCATAGTGACAAGTGGCGAGGTCAGGCCAAAACAAAACTTTATCATTTTTGTGAAACCTATTAATAAATGCTTCCAATCCAGCCTTGACGCAATTTTTCAGATAAATATCTTGATTGATATTCCCTGCGAGAACTACCGGGTCTGATACATGTCCGTGACTGGAGATGCATTGCCAAATGCAATATTTCTTTGGAAATTTGTCTTTTTTTCGTACTTTTTCTTCATAAGCCACTTCAGAGGGATCCGAGCTATGAAAAAAATGACGCCCTGGAAGATTTGAAGGGTCAACCGGAACATACTTTTCGTCATCCAGGATCACTACTTTTCCACGCATTTTCTTCAACAATTTTTGACATCAATCCTTGATCCGACTTTCTTGTACGGGCTTGTAATTTGGTGCAGGTTTTTTGGTCCTTGCTTTGATTCCTAATTTATGGACCTTAATTTCCCCCAGGTAGCTTTTGGAAATTTTGACTTTCCTGGCAGCTACAGCTACTGACGTTGATGGCTTGGTTTTGAAAATTTTTTCAATTCTATTTTTCACTCGAGTGGTCGCTAGCTTCGCCGGACGACCAGCTGGCTTCTTGAATTGCACATTTTCGGAATCCTTGAACTTTTTTATGTAGGAATACACATTTGAACTTGGAATTCCTTCCTGCTTAAAAAAGTTCCAGGTCACCTTGGAGTCTCGGTTGGCTGTCGTGTTGTAGAACTCCATCACTCGTTTTGCTAACAGCTCCCTTTCAAACAAGCTTCTTCTACCCTTATCCATTTTTGAAATTTAAGAGTGATATACCAAATTGACCCTAATGAAGTGGGCTTTCAGAAATTTAAATTATTATAGTTCGCGGGTTTATTGATTTGTCAATATACTCGCTAGAGCGCGCATTCCCATTCATTCCCGGACGTTCTTTAATTAAATTGGAAATAAAATTTCTTGAGGTGAATATCCAGTTGTTGATCTTGGGGTTGAAGTTGTCGATGCATTGATCGACTGGTATAACCAATCCGCACATAGCACATAAGGCCAGAGTGAATTTGATCGACAGAATGCACTTTTTCGACCTAGGAGAGTAATTCGTCACATTAATAAGTGACAATTGGTTTAGAGGCAGTTGGTGCCTCACGGGAGAAAAGCTTTGGCATTAGTTGCTAGCGGGGAAATCATATTTGAACTATTTGAACTAAGTATGACGCAATTTTTTCTTAACCAATTGAGTCGTCCGTGCGAATTTTGAAGAGGGTTTATATTCCAGGGTAGTACTCTATGGCTTGAATCCGGTTCCATGGGGTGACAAAATACATATAAAGAGGTGAATTGACAGATCTTAAATACATATTTTCAAAGGTGTCTGGAAATTCAAATACAGACACCATATTTTAATATTAATCTATCACCATAATTAAGATCACAATTCCGAAATGTCAATTCATGTTCTTAAAACCATTACTGGAAGTAATTACTTAATTAATTACAATTACTGGGAGTGCCACTTACGTACGTACGTCGTTGAACTAACTCCGTACTTAATGGTGTGGAGTTGGTCTACATTAATTTACACCTAAACCCTTTGGAATTTTGATTCGATTTTTTAGGCTCATTTGACTCCTCGGGAGAAACCATTTTGAAAAAAAATAAAAAACATGGCCTTGTACATATATTTACGAATGCGTAAATATGTTTATATGAACCAGTTTCTCAGGAACAAGAAATACCTGGGAGAAGTCCAGCAAATTATTTCTCCTTTGAGATAAAATCTATCAATTTCGACATATTTGCTACCTATCTGAAACAATGTGAATTGCTCAATCCCAAATATGCAGCAAAATTCATCACTGTATAAATAAATTGTGAATTTCTCAACTCGAGCAAATAATTGGGAAATATGTAGGTGTGTCGTTTTTACTGAACAACATTGTATTGAACTAAAATGTATACTTACCTATATGTTTAAAGTAGATCATCCGGCACCGTTTTCGCGTGGCCTTATAATCGATTTGGAAACATTTCCTTTAGCTCGAAAGATGAACATCGCGTGACGTTACATTCGAGGTAAAGGGAAATGTTTTTTAACCCATCGTATTGTAAGACAAGGAAAATACGAAAATGAAGCAATATGTATTGCATTGCACATTTATAGATTAGACTCTTGACAAGCATTAATAAGTATACGTGTTACCAAACTAATTTTAGTTATTCTTTGTAGTTCCGCTATTTTGGCAGATCTGGTTTTTGGCTCCCGAATTTGCAAACTGAATTTAAAAAATTATCGGCGAAAATGTGTTCAACTGCGGTGCTTAATTTCGTTAAAGCTGCCATTCTGACGATGCTATCGGTTGCATTCTGTGAGATTCATCATGACATAAATTCATTTGAGAATTGCCACATTCTCCTGTATTCCATAGGACACCTAGATCCTAGTTTAACGTCAACCTTCCATCTGATTAAACATCCAATTCAGCTATCACATCCGGAACAGTATATTCTTAAGTCGACCTCTAGCAATGCAAGCTTTAATTGGCGACGTGCTCCTCCAAAATTGTTTTCTTATCAACAGATCCTACCCGACTTTCAACCATTGGTAACCCATTCACCCTTGCAGTGTAAACTTCTGGTTAATATGTTCGGAATATGCTTCAATTATCAAAAATTCGTAACTCACTTCCTACAACAAGTCAAAAGCATAATTCCCCACTTGTATTTTGGCAATCCACCAAGTGTGGTTTACTTTAGACGTCTAGACCGATATGTCGATATTTATTCGACATATTTTGCACTTATTCTGTGCAAAATCCTTCAGTCCCTCATGTGGAAAGGGTTCCATTCGTCCAAAGACAAAGTTTGTGCGTTCTTTGGCACGCGTCCTCCACACAAGGGCAGCGGTTCCAGTTACACCCATCGTAAAATCCGAACTGATTGTTTTCATAGCAGTCATAATCTGTGGGGGGATTTACAGTTGTGAATAATTAAAAAAGATAAGGTGGTAAATTTTAATGAGACTGTACATACACACAGGTTTACATTTGTTCATTTAATGATGAATGAATAAATTGTTCATCCAAAATTCAAAAGTTGAATCAATATTAAATCAATATTTTATTCTGATTTTTGAATAAATGAATATTGAGTCAATATCAATTCAATTGGTGTGAATGAATCTTTTTCATCATTTTTAACTCAATGCTTAATACATAGGGAAAGTTGAGAAATTCATGATGAATTATTCATCTAATATTGTGAATTTTGAATAACATAAATAATGAATAGATGTTGGATAAGTAATGAATATTTTTTTTACAAGTTATGAATGAGATAATATGGTATGAATATTTTTTTTACAAATTATGCATGAGATCATATGGAATGAATATTTTTCTCAGAGCTTTCAACAAATGAGCTTTAAATGAATAAATATTATTTGATCATGTATGAGTGGGAATCCTGGTTGATCTCCATAGTTTCCCTAGTTCGTTTACTTATGTATCTTCCTCACCGTAATGTCATTTAATGTCACTGACGTGACATCACGTGCGCAAAAGTGATCTGTACAAACGCAGGAAACAATGCTTTCAAGTTTAGATGCTCAATTCTAGTACATAGTTCCAATTGAAATCATATCAATCTCTCGTATAGAGTATTCCCACTTCGCCAGCAATAATAGGCTTTGAAAACACATTGCAACTTTCTCCGGGTTTTCTCCACAAGTATTGATTTTCACTCACCCAGGTCTACTTTCTCCATGTGTACATATTTAGTTTCCACTTTCTTCCCCCTTTCTCATTTATCAGTCAGCTGAGAGTGATGCTTCATTTATTTATTAAATTGGTTTCTCGTATTAGAATGTACATAATCGTCTTCCAATAATATAAATAGATGTGATATCTAAAACTACATATTTAAAATAAAATATAATTAAACTATATATTCAAAAGATACAAATTTTTCATGGAATATGCCAAATTTAACCAATTTAACCTTTCCATTTAACCTGAGTTAAAAATACACAAATTGTTTTTAACTGCACCATGGAAGACGCCAGGTATCGAGATGCCGCAATTTTTGCGGTCGTTTCAGACATGGTGAGTAATTCAAGTAATTTAAATAATTCAATTCACAAAATTAAATTAAAAATTACATCTTTATAATTGTTATGAATATTTTAATTGCATGCACAAATTTCAACCTTGACAGGTAATGACAAGCGTTAACCTACTAAAATGGGGAGAAATAGGATTTCAGATTATTGGATTTTACATGGGAATGCACAAAGTAGCAAGTCCGATTCATAGTAAGGACTCATTTAGTATTTAATAACCTTATATAATATGTATTAATTGATTAGTAAAATAACTCTAATTGTATACTGCCAGCTATTCCACTGGTTTTTGCCGCATTCATACTTCATTTTGGGGCAGTGTGGACCGCTTACAAAATGACGAAGGCTTGTCGGCTGGTATGTATGTAGATAATAACTTCGAATCATACATGTTCAAAAAATACATATTTATTCAAAGTTCAATCATTCAATGGCTTGAAAAAAATATTCATACCTTATTCATTTATTAATAATTTGTAAAAAAAATATTCATTAACTATTCAAAATTTATTCATTATTCACTATTCCTTCATTATTCATTAATGTTATTCCAAACAGTATTTATTAAATGAATTTATCAACTTTCCGTATGTATGAAGTATTGAGTTAAAAATGAATTATGAAAAACATATTGAGTTCATTCAAATTTTGAATATTGAATGAATAATTTACTCATTCATTACTAAATAAATGAATGTGAACATGTACATATGTTCAGAATATTGATTATCCATCAAATCAATTACATAATTTTCCTTTTCCTAATTTTCTAAGGAAACTCAACTAGATGAAGGGATACGAAGGGGGAAAAATTGGAGAAATTTGGCCATTGTGCTAATTCTGTTCAACATTCTTGGCGCACCTACTCTCGGACTGAAAGGCTACACCGGAGGGATGACGGTCATCTTCAATACGCTCCGGCTAATCGGGATTTTTGTGGTTCACACATTTGTCGGAGAATTGACGGCAATATTGGCTGAGGCTGAAGCAATGGAAACAACTCAGATTGTTACGAGTCGCTGAAAGTTCTGCTGGTAAAGGGCAAAAGATATTTTATTTCAGGAAAAGAAAAACAATATATGTACATATTGCCAAAGAATTAAGAAATAATAAATTCTTGTTTGAAATAATAAAAAAAAATAAAAAATACACATAAGGCATCATTCGTTAAGGTATGTCTAGACCCAAAATGTCCAAAGTTTCCAATATTCCATTCAACGCTAGGGAATTTATGATATCAAGAAATACCCTTTCATTTCATACATAAATATGTAAATAAATATCTTCTGACTGAATGTAATTAGGGTCGTAGTTTTAAAATTAAAAACTGCACGCCAAAGGCTGTTCATTCAAAATGTTTTCCATTACCAAAATTCTACCATTGTGCCTAATGAATTATGACCTTAAGAAAACAGTGTCAATTATGCATATGTTTAGCTTATTTATTAAGAATAATAAAGTTAGGAACCGAAATTCATATTTCTTTCGGGCTACATGCATTTCAGATTTAATTAATGTTTAGTTAATATTGGTTTGCAGGAATTTAATTAATGTTTTACATTTATGCTTATTTTACATTCGTTACTTATTTTAGATTTGTGATTCAGACATTCCCGCGTTTGGGCGAATACAAAAATGTCAGCCAAACTGACATATGTATGAAATTTGACCTTTAAATGACATTTCATGACCTTTTGACCTTGGTTTTGTCCATCTTCGAACTCCTCTTGTCCTTCGACGTTAAAGGTTACGTTCAAAATTTCAGTCTCGATGTCTTTTCTTTCAAAAGTTATCGGACCAACGAACAGACGGACGCACATAACGATCTTATAAAGGGCTTTCAATCCTTAATAATTCGGAAACGGAAATGAACAAACTATTTAAATTAATAAATTTCATGACAATTCCAAAATATTTATTTAATTTATCCCAACAAAGTATCAATCAAGGTACAGATATGTCATAAAAATATCTTATACAGAAATATCACTTAAATACCACTTAAGTATCGCTTAAGAGTTCACTATCATTTAGAAAGTAATAAAAATTGAGACAGCAATTAGTCTTTGCCGTAACAATATTTGCCGGATTGAATAATGTACAAAGCATGATTCTCCTGAAAAATATGCCATACATACTTAAATATCACTTAAATATCGATTATGCATCGCTTAACTACTAACACAAATTATAACAGAATTTATGCATGTATGTAGATCTGGCTTGTCTTCTGTGGATAAATATCTCGTTAAAAAGTATTTCTTAGTCAGTCAGTAAAAACATTCGCGTTACGTTAGTATTTCTTGCCAATTTTAACTCCATCAAATCCATAATTTTATATAATCCAGAAATTTTTCGTAATGACCAAGTATTCCAGAGTTGCGGGAATTATCACAATAATTTTTGTCATTTTTACCCTTGGGGTTTGTCAAGAATGGCAGTCTGGGAAAGGTAACAAATTAAAGCTAACTTTTATTAAGGGTTGGTGAGATGATTCAAAAGATTGGTAGATATAAATATGTACACATCCAAACATGTTCAAAAAATATTTACTCATACCAAGTTCATTCATTCAAGCCTTGAAAAAAATATTTATTCCTTATTCAGAATTTGTAAAAAATATTCATTAATTGTTCAACATTTGTTCATTATTCACCATTCCTTCATTATTCATTTTACTCAAAATTCATAGTATTACATAGCTGAAGTTTTCAACTTTCAGTATGTATTAAGGATTTAGTTACAACCGAATGATGAAAAACATTCTTATTCATTCTTTATTGACACGATTTGAGTAGACAATCAGTCAATAATCATTTATTCAAAATATAGAATAAAATATTCATTCAATATTCATTCCTATTTTAAATATTAAAGGTATTTAATAATTTATTGATTCATTATTAAATAAATGAATGTAAACCTGTATGTACAGTCACATTAAATTTACCACCTTATTTTTTTAATGATTCACAACTCGAAATCCCCCCACAGATTATGAGTGCTATGAAAACAATCAGTTCGGATTTTACGATGGGTGTAACTGGAACAGCTGTCCTTGTGTCGAGGATGCCAACATCGTGTGCCAAAGAACACACAAACTTTGTCTTTGGAGGAATGGAACCCTTATCCTAACGCCACACGAGGGACTGAAGGATTTTGCACAAAATAAATGCTGCTCTGCATAATAAATAATTTTATAAGATGTAATTTCCAATAATATTAATATATGCCTGATGAAGATGACAGTGAGTCATTGAAAGCTTGCAATACTTCAAATAAAATCAAGTATTATCCCCTTACACCACAGAAATGTCTCGTCAAAATAAATAATTCTGCTACGTCATCAAATCGAATAATGGGTAAATTATTTTCAATACAATTTATTAAACGATTATTAGCTCAACCTGCGTAGCACGGGAGCTATTGAATTCCCCTTGTTCGTCCTCCCGTCTGTTATAATAATAATATTTTGTTATACTGATTTATATGAACATGAAATACATACAAGTAAAAATGATTAAGACTAAAGAAGTTGATTCTAGCTTAACATTTCACTACAAACAGCAACATGCCATGTTTCAACAGTTTACATCCTACCTAAGCCATTACTATTACCGTCTTTAATTGACGTCAAATCAATAATTTTATCGTAATGAACCTTCAAAATAATTCTCAACTGTTTATGACCCTTTCGCATCAATTGATGCTAATTAAAATGTCCCAGGTCCATTTTTTATGGAAGCCATGAAAACGAAAAGAAATGCAGGTCTGGATTTAACATGTTGATCAGATCTATTATTTACTGGTTATAAAATTGTTACCGGGTGGTAATAATATGTAACCAAACCTGAGATAAATATGTACCACCTGCACGGTAGCAAATTTATTATCACTCGGTAACAGATTTATTACGAAGGCGATATAGTCATCTATAGAGTACATTTGGTAACCCGTAATTACGACGTTTTTAGAGTGTAACTACATTCCGTGAACATGTTGCACAATTTTTCCAAATTGTTGATAAAGGCATTTACGGCAAGAAGGCATAAATTTTTGCGCGGCATTTACGTAGAGTATCCTGATGCAGTGTATCCAATAATTCAACTTCCAAGAAAATTGAAATCTCCCAAGTTCCGCAACCAACACTAATATGCAAATACTCAAACAAATCCCAAACAAATAAAACTCGGTCGTTATTTTTGAACTGAAATCCAGTCGTGAAACTGCCTTAAATTTAGGGTGTGTCCAATTCGCATAGTGGTCAAGCAACTTCTCAGGATTCCTTGATTTGTACAAAGTTTCCCAGTGATCGAAAATTCCTGACGACATCATCACCTTGAGACGTTCCTCCACGTAATTATTTCTCATCGGAGGGATCATCCAGCCTCGAATTGCCGAAAAAAGTGATCACCATCGCCCCGGACGAATCGTCGCTTTTCTTGATTATCGTTAAGAAAATTTGTAATTTTGACAATATTCTCTGCTTTATCAATCAAAGCGACTTTCTCACAAGTCGACAAAATTTTGACTATATTATAACTGTCAGCTTTGTTATAGTCAACTGATTGGATTGGATAGCCCTTCAATACGCTTTTATTAAAAGGATGAGGCTCATCTGGCCTGTGAAAATCCGTAAACACGCCACTTTTATACTTAATATTCAAATTCTCGTCCATCCCAAAATGCGGTCGGAGCATGTTGACCAAAGCTTTTGCTCTGTTCTTGTAAACCATCAGACGTTTATATTTTCCCGGTTCTATTGCAATTTCATGACATCGGAAGAGGAGCTGCGTGTAGAAATATTTATGGCGGAAATAGTCAAATTTTATCATATCAACACTGTGCTCGCCCATAAGCTTGAACGGCATAAGGATTCGAATTCCTTCCACGTCCATTACCGTGGTCCAAGGTGAGCGGTACATGGTGGGGACAATCATTTCCATGGTGAAAATAGATTTATACCAATTCGTCAAAATTGTTCCCACCAGAAGAGTCCATACTCCTATAAAGGTATTAAGTCCGATTAAGGGATACTTTGTCGGCTTAAATTTAGCCTTATAAATTGATCCAGACAACACTGAGTTTTCCAGAGATATTCCAATCATTAGAAGTATCCCGTCGGAATTAAGTTGTTTCGGTAATAGAATTAAGATGAGGACCACCCAAGTAAAATGTGTGGCCAGCAAGGCCCAACTCCAGTCATCGAGCGGACTGCTTAAAGTTGTCAGAATATCGGAATTTGAACGTGTTTGATGACATGATACAAAACTGTAGGTTTGAACATCATGGAGGAAAAATATGTTCCACGTCGAGCCCCAATTGTTTAGCCGAATGATTGGTGTGAAGGAGTAGAGTGGCCGAACGTGTGTTAGATCATGTTTCAAGACGTCTTGGAAGATCCAAGAAGCTAAAAATCCATGAAACGAGGCCACCTTTCGTGACCCATTGGTAATACTTTTTAAACCAGAAAGTTCTATTTTTTGACCAAAAGCAGTTACCGTAGACCAAAAGTATTTGTTGAGGTTTGACACATTTTTACCAATTTGTTCCAATTTGTTGACACACTCGGATGCCACACAGTGAATCTGGTACCAGGGTGCGGAGCTTTCAATTCCAACTGATGGTTTCTCAATGAAGTAGATATTATGATAGTGCATCCTTAGCAATAACGTGTCCTCCAACAAATATTCCATATCAATTATTACAACTTGTTTCAAACCGAACATTTCTAAAGACTCTAATTTTCTAAAATACTCTTGAATTTCATGTTTAGCCGCAGTGACGAAAATATAATATTGGAAAGCCAAATGATTATGAACGAAGGAAGTAGTAGACATTAAATTCATATACTTTATATCAAACAATCCTCCTTGAACGGAAAGAATGGTACTTGGCAAGCTGATAAGTTGGTACATCTAATAGGGGTTGATCTGTACGGATTTTATGTTTCGATGTAGCTTCAGTTAGGGAGGATGTTGTGGTAATAAAATAAATCACGATGGAAATAGAGACAAATTGAATAAATAACATTGTAATTGAGTGTTAACAGAATCTATACTCAAAAAGTGGATACAATACTTATGAGGGGACGTTCGTTGAGAAGCTCTCAGTGGGAGCAGCTTAAACAATTTTCCTATCTATATATGTATGTAAATATTGTTAAGATTAAGAAACCTGGAGAATTTTTTTAAATACACTGGATTGAAGTTCTGAAGAGAGTACTCCATCCGGTCTCAATATTAAAACAAGTTCAACTTGTTGCTTAAAGGTAAACTTAAGATAATACTGGCTACGTGAGGATAATAAGTAAGTACGTACATATGTAAGGTAATGTATTTGGTAGCAAATTTAAAGTATTAACTTTGTACAAAGCAACATGTTATTATTCACCAACTTGCATTTCTTGAAAATTATACCCACGTTCGAAGCAAATAAACGTAGGTGGAGTAGTTGTCCCCCATTCCCTGTGCCGTTACGAGGGCTTGCCAGGCAGGAGATTTCCCCATGGCCGGGCCCTTGTGTTCATTAAAAAAATTGCATGAAAAATTTCATGAGAATGACGTGCTTCAAAGATTTTGAGCAGTTGGGAAGCGTGTCACTGTGAAAGCCAAAATAAACGACAATTAAAAATGCTTACACTATGTAAAATAAAATCTGTGAAGTTTCGTAAAAACAGAAATTCGGTCTGGGAGTATGTAGGAATCTTTGCAGTTATATGTACATATGAGCAATCATTTCGCCTACAAGAAATGTCGCAAAATTATGATTGTGTAACAATGATTTCCGAGATTAAGTGTTGTAAGTATTTAGTAGCCAAATTTACTAATTGAAGTTTCATTCACACATTAATCATCAAAATGATTTCATTTATGTTCCGGTGTTTCATTAAGAGTAGAATTAAAATGTCATGAACACATGCCAATTATTAGATGGGGCCGGGCTCGTAAAACCTCCTAGGGTCGTGCCATATAGGTTTGGGCACTGACCACTCGTTTGTTTGTTTGTTTGTTCGTCGTTGATTAACGTGATATTCCTTATCAGTACTACTGAAAGACTGGTTTTCATAAGTAACACGATGGGAAAGATTACTAGCGAAAATCAGAATATTCAAAGCTGGGAAATTCAGAACTAGCTAGGTTTGTAAGAAGAATGGAAAGGGACGGAAAAGCGAAGAATTTGTGATTTGAATTGGGGAATTTGAATGATGGCTGGATGGTTTCTACTGATATGCAAACCACCATAGAAAGCCCAGACTACCTACACAATACTAATACTTGCCTGCATCAAATATTATTATTATTGCAGTCCAGGTCTACTCCAGTACTTTTTGCAAAGAGACTGGATTCGAACTCTCGGCCTTTTGAGCCAGACTATTGAGAGTCTGTCCCCTAGGCCAAGCCGACTCCCATTCAGAATTTGATGCCATTTGTATGTTGTGTTATTGTTGGTCAGGAAATATTTAAAAAAATCAAACTTTTCAAAAAGCTAATTTTGGTATCGGGTACGATGAAGCAACTATATCTTATCTACAACTTATCTAGGATCAAGAATAGGCAAAAAGTATAAAACTCAGGAGTAGAAGGTCGCAACTTGTCGGAGCCCGATTTTGATCTCCTTTGGATATGTTGTAGTACTATATGAGTGTAGAAAAAGTGAAGGAAGGTTAGACTCCATGAGCCCATTTACGCCCGCCACACCCCCTCAAGGGCGCCCAAACCCCCAGAGTTGCCGCACTAAATTCTTCGAATTGAATATTTTCTGCCCAAAGGTATGTATTGAAAAAATTCGAAATTTCAAAAAAGTTGAGTTGGATATGACAGAGCAACTATCTGGGATCACAAAAATGTAAATTCTTGAAAATCTGACCAAAACTCGATTTTTGGCGATGAATTTAGTGCGGCAACTCTGGGGGTTTGGGCGCTTTTGAGGGGGTGTGGCGGGCCTAAATGGGCTCATGGAGTCTAACCCTCCTCCACTTTTTCTACACTCATATAGTACCACAACATATCCAAAGGAGATCAAAATCGGGCGCCGACAAGTTGCGACCTTCTACTCCTTAGATAGTATTTAGCGCCCCTTTGAATGGGTGTGGCAGGCGCAAATTAACCTATGGGGTAACGTCCTTTGGGGTTTTGTACATTTATGGGGTACTATTTATCTACAACATATCCAAAAGGTATCAAATTCTGGGAGGGAGTGGTAGACAACTATTCCCCCTTAGACAAGCTTAATTCGAACATATTTCCGTTCAAGCTTAGGATTTGTAGGTAAGGATCGCCTTCCGGTATAATTACCTATTCTGAAATGCATAATCATAAATTTTTTATTTATGTCAATTTATTGTAGCCTTTATTGTGTGCAAAACTTTTCTCCTTTCCTATGAATATGTGAATAAAAAACTACCAGCCTAAATTAGCTATGTATGTGGAATGGAATTGTTATAGTTTATTACATTTTTAACGAAACAGAAGAATTGATGTTTATATTTTAAATTTAAATTTATTCTACATAAATACTTCGGTATGCTTTTACACCTATGGCAGATTCGCCGATGTTCCCAGTTCCAAAAAACTTATTTCAACTTCTCCGAATATTCTCAAATGATGTTTCCCAAATTTTGCACACTGTTTCAGAATAGCAAGAATTATATGATTGAATGTATGAATTTTATTTTATTTTATTTTTATTTTTTTTAATTTTTAATTTTGGCTTCCATTTCTGGGGCCATAGGCCCATAAAGGTACATGTTCATAAAATATTGTACAATATTTGTGATTCGCGTTTTACCATAGAAAGAATATAAATATAATTTATAAATAATACAATTTACAATAATTTATAAATAATATTAATATTAATATAATAATAATAATAATAATAATAATAATAATATTAATATTAATAATATTAATAATATAGTATAATTTATAAATAATACAATTTAAGAAATAAACATAAATTTATTTATTTTTATTATACAACAATGAAGCAGGGCCCATATCTTAGTTCCAAGGGAATCTTTCACTTACTGCAGAGGTCCCTGGTTCGAACTCAGTTGGTGGCTTAGTTCTTGGTAAATCATCGTACCGGATACTTGTCTACTTGGGGATAGTCAGTACCTGAATGGCGGTGTTGATTTCACAAATTTCTGTTTTGAGTGTGTATACATAATTATGAATTTTATGTTATATGTGTAAATATCTTTCTTGTGTCTTCCCGGGTGAAAAAATGAAGGAATTTTATGCAGAAATTTGGCAGAGATTTATGCAGTGAATTGGCTATACTTTATGCAGAAAAATTTATGGCGAAACAATTTGTGCACAAAATATGCAGAATTATGCATAATTATGCTAAAACTTTCTGCAGAATATACCTGTCAGAAGGTTTATGTCGAATCGTTCATACTTTTTCTACACAAATCAATTGGTCGGGGCAGTTGTGTCGAATTACCGTAAATACTCAATTTATAGCCGGGGCTAAAATCCAAAACTGGTGGTCACAGACCCGGCTATAATTAGAGACCCGGCTAAATTTTGTTCCGCGCTAATTTTTAATATTATAAAATATCATTTTGTCACGATTAAATGCACTCTTGGCCAAATAAAATTAAAAGTTTTGTACATTTTGACCTCATTCGTGGATTCACCGAATGTACAGCATTTTTTTGAGGGATTGTGAACGGGGACAGAGCGGATAAGACAGGTCATAATTAGAGACCCGGCCATAATTAGGGACCCGGCTAAAATTAGAGACCCGGCTAAAATTTTGAAATCTTGGTCTCTAAACCCGGCTATATTTGGAGACCGGCTATAATTAGAATAGGGCTATAAATAGAGGTTTACGGTATGTCAACTTCGAAATACGATTTTCACCCGGGTTAACTGAACACCTTGGAGCCATTTAATTTCAACACTTACAATGGAGGTCTCCCAACGTATGCTCACAGATTTGGACCAAACTTGCCCCAATCGATCATAAATATAATTAGTATGGAATTTGCAAATGGAACTGTCTCCCATTGCGCACGTTTGGCGGAGATATTTGCATATAAACTAAACCCCAAAAAAGGACAGACTACTTTTTTGCTATATTTAAATTATACCATTTTGAAATTAAGAGAAGAATTGTCAGATCGTATGGATGACATTTTGTAGTGATTTATTGAAACACAAGCTTTCGGAAACTAACTGTTTCCTTCTTCAGGTGGTGGTAATAATTGCAATAATTATTTACACTTGACAAAGTTTTTAGTGAAGAGAGATGGGTTAAAATATCAGTATAATTGTTGATAACAACTTGTTGTCACGGGCGCTGGGGTCGTGGAGTTGGTGGAATTATCAGCTTCGAAGTAAGGGGCAGTAATAGCGAACTCCATATAGGATTGATGTCCATTCCCATATCTCTGTTCATTCTGTGTGGATTATTTTTGATAAATAATGCTTCCTTAAATTTCCGATGGAAATATCGTGGTTCCCTATTGATGAGAGTTGCTGACTCTTGATTTATTTTGTGGGACGAATTTTGCATTACATGTAGAGCGACGGCAGATTTAGGATTTTTCTTTGTTATATCTCGTACGTGTTCCTTAACTCTTTCTTCGATTGATCGTGATGTTTCTCCAATATAGGTGGATGGACAAGTGGCGCATTCAATTTTATATATACCAATTTGTTTCGGTGGCTCTTTTTGTTTGTGTGAGCATATTTGGTTACCAATTTTCTTTCCAGGGATGAAACCGAAATCGCAATTCAGTTTTCTCCTCAGGTATGTGGTAAGGTGGTGTGTCACTGGACCCATATATGGTAGTATCATACGTTTTTTCGGTTCCTGTTCATCATGTCCGTCTCGATTCGTTATTTTGGATTCCATTCGACGTAATCGGGAGGAGATCAAGGAGTTAGGATATCCGTTATTTAATAGCTGCAATCTCACGTGTGTGACCTCCTCATCTAAAAACTCTGGGTCAGAAATTAGTAATGCTCGATATAACAAGGCATCGATTACTGAGATTTTATGTGAAGGGTGATGGTATGACGTATAATTTAGATATCGACCGGTATGGGTAGATTTACGGTAGACTTTCTTCCTCAGCTTTTCATTTTGGTCTCGTATGAGAGTGACATCGAGAAATGAGATCTGTCCATCGGTTTCTTCTTCGTATGTAAACTGAATACTTTGGTGGAAGTTGTTGAATTCCTGGAGTAAATTGGTCGTGGCATCTTCATTTATGATCATGAAAATGTCGTCGACATATCTTCTGTAGTAATGTATCTTGGGATTATTTTGGACGATTTCGGATTCAAAGTATTGCATGTAAAATTCTGCAAAGACAGGTGATATGGGTGAGCCCATTGGGGTCCCGTTATTTTGCTGAAAAAACATGTCCTGCCACTTGAAGTAGTTTGAGTCGATGCATAGTTTAAGCAGGTCCAAGATGTCTTTGGTAGTCAAGCTCGTGAGTGATTTCCAATCCGAATTTTCTTGAAGTTTGCGTTCAATGTAGCTCATGGTATCTTTAATTGGGACTTTTGTGAACAAAGACGTGACATCGAATGAAACCATTTTTTGATTTGGACGTAGTTGGTAATCTTGGATTTGTCTTGAAAATTTGTAGGAATTTTTTAATGTGAAGGGACTTTTCTTCGTGATGGTCTTTAGAATGTTATTAAGGTGGAGGGACAAAGAGTATGATGGAGAATTTCTAAAGTCGCAAATGGGCCGAAGTGGAGTGTCATTTTTGTGAATTTTTGGAAGACCATAAAAAATGGGAGATTTTGAGTTTTTAGGAGAAATCTGGTTGTAAATTTCTTTTGTGATTCTTTTGGTCTTGAGTAATGATTTCAATTTTGTTTGAATTGCTTTTTCCAGTTTAATAGTCGGGTCGTCTCTAATTTGTTCATAAGCAGGATCATTAAGAAGATCCATGATTTTGTTGTTGTAATCTTGTTTGTCCAAAATGACAGTTGCATTTCCTTTATCAGCAGGACATATTATAATGTTGTTGTCATTCTTGATTTGTTTGATCTTGGCAGGAATCCATTGATAACTCTTAATGTTGTTGTCTGGTCTATTTTTATAAGAGGATAATATGCGAGAGAGTCCATTACGTACGGTGTTTTTTTCCTCTTCTTGTATTTCAAACTCTTTAAGGCAGCATTCTAGAGAGATACCGGATTCTACAATCAGTTCTTGTTGATTACGAAGTGGAACGGCGTAGTTAAGTCCCAATTCTAGTACGGCTATTTCATCCTTGCTAAGTAACTTGGAAGATAGATTTACGACGCTGCTTATCTTTTGACCATCGTTGTTTGTGGTCATTTGAGGAGATTGTGATGAGTTTTGTAAGTAGTAATAAGTAATTCATGTAAATATTGACCTCGGAATCTAACGTGATTATTATAGTATTCTGTACATCTGTAACCGCAAAGCTTAATGTCTAAAACGATTTCATTGCCTAAGGTGTACCACTCAATTGAGTGATCATCAATTCTTGCGCTCAACCTTGGCTTGAAAAACGGCTTTGGTGTAAATTTGCTCATACCACAAACTGCGGTAAGGTCTGTTCCGTGAGCCCCTTCGTTGTCGGATGATGATGATGCCGAAGATGAGGATGTTCCGGACGATGAAACTTCTACACCTAAACCTGAATATCCGCCTTAGTCAAGCAATGATTCAAAAGAATTCTTCCTATGAAAGTACCTGATGCTAACGGAGCTTGTGAAGATTTTTCGATTTTCCTTCTTTTGCAGATAAACTTTTTGAGCTTCTGAGCAGTGGATGGTTTACTCGAAGAACCGGCTTTCCCAATCTCCGGCGTACCACGCTTGGGTCGCTGATTTGCAGAAACGGGAGCATCTTCAGGAACTTGTTCAGATGTAATTTTTTCGTCGTCTGAGGCTAAGTCCTTCAGAACGTTTTCCATCTTATAGACTTGTGAATAGGTTGGAAGTCAGTGAACAAATGTAGCTAATACCCACAAATTTTCTCCTTAAATACTCATTTTGTTTATTCGGATATTTTTTTTGTTTTGTATTTGTTTATTTGTTGCTGCTTATTTTATTTTCAAAACCGGTTCGGAAACATTAATTTTTTTTAAATTATAAGCTTCAAAATTCAGAGGTTTCCGAGAAACATTTTAAGGAAATTAATTTCAAATTTTTACGAGAGATAATTCCTCAGGATAAAATACACCTAAAATTATTTCCCCTGTATTATCACTTAACTTGTAAGTTACAGGTATGCTGTTTACGATTTCTTGAATTTTGAACAAGTCAGTCGTGAACGTCGAAGCGTAACCTTTCTCGAATGTCGCTTTTTGAATCTTAATTCTAACATACTGTCCGATTCGAAATTTAGGAGCAGACGGCTTTGACTTCTGCAAATCCTCGTAACTCTTCATCCAAACATTAAATTGATTGGAAAGCTTAACATCTCTTGGTCGGCAATTTATGGACCTATGCACTGAAGAATTATAGGATTGTACAAATTCTTGTAAATTATTTATGTATTTCGTATCATTTGTAAATGTGAAATACTTGTTCAAACGAAGCATTAGTGTTCTATTAAATCTTTCAATCATGGCAGCTTTCAGTTCGGAATGATTATGAAACAAGCTTATATTATTTTTATCCAAGATTTTGAGAAAAGCTGTCCCTCTAAACTCAAGTCCTCGGTCCGTTTCAAGATATTTACATTTACGACCACTGGTGTCTAAAATATCTTGAAATGCAGTTGCTACAACGGAGCAGGTTTTATTACGCAACGGTCTAACAAATGCATAACGGCTTAATACGTCAATTACAGTTAGTAAGAATTTTATACCCTTATTTTTTCTGCTAAATTTCGTAACAGTAATCAAATCACCTTGCCATAAATAATCAATCGACGGTACAACAATCTTGCGTCTTGGGAATTTGTGACGAACATACTTATTCCTTGTATATGTTTGGTGACGTTGCAAAAAATCTTTTGCCTTCTGCAGTGAAATATGAGCAACTTTAGAGAGTCGCTCCGGACCACCAAAACTTCCGGGGTTTACAGGATTGAAATAAATTTCATTTAACTTTTCGAAAGACATTGCTAGTGAACCTTAAGCTTGTTAAATATTTTCGTACAATGCTTACTAGTTTGAGTGCACACACCGGTTAAGTCAATCCCACGTTTCATGCACTCTTTCCGACAAAGTTGCTCACAATTTGAAAATGAAGGAAATTTGAAGTTTATCGTCACAAATTGCTTTACAAAGTTATCATTATTGGTGAGTTGTGTTTCCGAAAAATCATTTACAATATCTTCGTAGCTGTATGACATAGATCTTTTAATTAAGAAATTTAAACAATAATCTCCACATACATCGCTAAAATTCGACTGATATTGAATTTGAGAGTACTTAATACTTTTAGCATGCTCACGACAGAACGACGACATTCGTTGGGGGTACATATTTATTGGCAATGCAAAGCTATCGAAATATTCAATAAGGTCGCTATCTTTACTCTTCCTGAAGCAAACCCAGTGCATTCCGGGTTCGGTGGATGTTTGATTATTACAGATAATTGAGAAAGAGTCTTCTTTGATTGATGATAACTGATCTATAGCGCACACAGCCGTGAAACCCTCGATGGAACAAAGCAGGGCATATCTTAGTTGATATGAATCCATTACTGGACGCTGATTTGCCGAAACTTATCTATCTCGAGAACACGTTGATGCTCCGAGTATACTAAGCAATTAACTGCTTCTGGTACCGCCGAGGCGAATTTTATTTCTACTCGTACTGACCCAGTTTTTTCTAAATGTAACGTCGAATCCACACTATGGTTAATCTCGAAAGCGAAAAATGTAAACATCTCAGCGAACTTCTTCCGGTCAAATGTTAATCCTTGATCTTGTCCAGCAATTCCAAGCGAACTGAATAGCATATAATATGGTAGTAAATATACATTATTATCGAAATCGAGATTTAAACCTCTAATTGGGATTGGTACATTATTTACTGATAATGAAATAAAATTAATTTTATAATTCTTAAACACAAATGGATTAATTTTATAGTCGCCAATAAAACCCGAACTAGGAACGAGACACAATATAATTCTGGACGGAACAGTGCTCATGAAAACGTTTTCTTCAATGAAGGATTGACTCGATTTCGGAATTGAAAAGAATTTTACATCCGATTTTTTAAAAGGATATCTAGCACTGTGCCCGCTATCTAAGAGTTTTTGATGTGAGAGGACGATACTAGGATAAAGTACATGTTTTCTTACAAATAAACTTGCATCCATAAATTTTATCTTTGGGTTCAGATCAGGATCCCCACTCTTAGGTCCTGGATAAAGTAATGAGAACAGTTCTGTGGCCCGTGTTAAACTTATGTTTACAGTGGTGTCGTTTAATATATAACGTTGTTGGTAGGACAGATCAAATTTTAATTTATCAATTAGCTCGAGAGGGCTCGAGGAAGCGATATATTTTTTTCTTCCCCCATATCCACTGTTTGCTTTATCCAGTTTTCCTTCCTCGGTATCTAAGATAAATAGGGGACAAGTTCCCTGAGAATTAATGTAGTCCCTCCCAAACGTCCTTAGAGTTTCCATATATGCCTTGTACATGTAACAATTATTACTCGTAGATACCAATTGTTGATTTATACTAACATCACAATTCGTAAAGAGTGAATGCATGAACAAATTCGCTGTACTAACGTCAGCATCGGCGGGTAGATCTTTTCCATCCCCGCAAATTATTTTTACACGGAAATAGCAAAAATGATCGAATAAATCTAAGTACTGCGACGAATTTCCTACAATTCTGAATTCTATCTTAGCGTCGCTATCCTGAATATTCACCACTGGTTTATATTCGGCGAAGAAGCTCGATTCGACGGTGGTATCGGTTGCGGGCAAACTGAAAAGATCGGCTTGTCCACGAATTGATGGAATATTTATTAATCATCGCCATTATCCGAAAATGTCACTTCTGCTTCTTGGCTTGACACTATTTGATGACTTAGTTTTAGATATTTTCTTGATTTTATTATTTCTTTTCTTATTATTACCCTTGGTTTGCTTCGATCTAACAACTGAGCAATGTTTCTTTGCCGGTGATCTAAGCAGTAATGAACTTAGAGAACTAGATTTTACTCGCTTTGATCTTACCATGTTACCTCCCGCTTGACGACCGGCTATATGATTACCAACGTTATTTAACAAACTCGTTGCATTTGATTTAATTGAGCTCTTGAGAGGAACACCGCTCGTCACATCGGAAATAGTGTTAATGAGAGCATCTTTAGCGTGCGGAAGAATATATTTAGTTACAAGAGGCAGTGCATATCGACCTATATATCCCAGTATACCTCCCAAACCACCACCCTTCTGTCGATAGCCGTTAAACACTGGGATTCCATTTCCAATTTGCTCGTGTAAAGCCTTATGATATTCGGAATGATCAAATATGTGCAGACGTTTCATTTTTGCGCCTTATTTAATACACTACAATTATGAACTTTTCATAAGCGACGATTCGACACAATATATGTGTAAGGGATGAGCAACGTTATAAATATGAGGACATATCGTAAAAATGACTTCATTAATAGTTCAAAGTTTTATGGAAGTCTGAACTCTCAGCAAAATGTCCTTCTATTTATTCCTACCCTCAAACGTTAGCCCTCTCTATTTTCCAGATAACAGAATTTCCTCCTTTAAAGTAAAATTACCGAAACGTTTTCAATTTTTACCTGATGAGTATGAAGTCGCTCTAACAGAATTAACATACAATCACTCAATGAAAACGTTTTTGCGAGATAGCGGTAGAGAAATTCGTTTTCGAACCCTTATTAGCGAGCGTGAAATTTTTACTGGGGTTTTACAACCACACTGGCGAAACACCTATGTATTACCGAATCTAAATTACTCATCCATTGTCACATTATGTATAGAATTGAATAAAGCACTTCAAGTCGAAACCGAGAAGCAGATTACCGCTTTCTATTACGATTCTGAGGTAAACCGTGTATCGGTAAACGCTGAACACAGTGAAATTCAACTATCGCCCTTGTTGGCAAATTGTTTGGGTTTCCCCGATATTACAAAATTTACAGGAAAAAATACTGCTACAAATCCACCTGATTGTTTCGGGAGTATGTACCATATGTTCGTCTATTGTGACTTTGTACAACCTCAAATTGTTGGTGACAGTCTGGTTCCTTTGTTAAGAATTGTGGATATCACAGGTCGTGAGGGTCAAACTGTAACTCAAACGTTTCGTCCGTATTATTTACCAATCAGTAAGTTGGAATTCGACACCGTCGAAATATTGTTATGCAACGAATATGGAGAAGAAATCCATTTCACCAAAGGAATATCAGTCGTGACAGTTCATTTCAGAAAAAGATCCTTTAAGAATAACAATGGAAATTGACCAAGGTAATGCATTTAGGCTGCTACATCCTTTCTCGATGAGTATTTCGGGAATTTCGCAATCAGGCAAGACGCAATTTTTAAAATCATTGTTGCTCAATTCAAATAAGATCGTTTCCCCCGCACCAGATAGGATAGTTGTATGCTTCACAGAAGAACAAGAGGCGTATAGAGAATTAACGTCAAAATTACCGCATGTAGAACTAATTAAAGGCTTGGTCTGAACGTAAAGTAGGTTAATAATTTTCCGTTTTTTATCTCGGATGTGCATACTTTGGTATTTAGATAACGTTTTAGAAAATCATGACAGCAACCAAATAACAATTGACAAATTTCAAAAATGTATGCTTGAAGGGATTAAATCGGGCCAAATGCTAAAACAGCGACTTTTAGGGCGCAAAAATTTGACGTATGGACCAAGGTGGTTTGATGAAAAATGTTTGAAGGAAAAGAAACTCTTCAATTCTAGTCTGCGTGATTTTAGAAACGCAAGAAT